AATAAACAAACCAAGTGATGGTCTCTTCCCATTTTCAACACTCTTTCATTGAAAGAAAGAAAAAAACCGTCACGCAATAGATTACTTTATTTATTTTTTTAATGTCCAGAGATCTCACCAGTTTCTACCAGAGCGTCGTAAGAAAAAATTGACTTTTGTGTGAAATTTTCGACAAAAAGAAATGGAGCTTTAATGTAATAATACTTTTTTTTAGTTCATTTTGACTTATTGCTGTAACAAAGGCTATGAAGCTAATATCGTGTTTGAGTTTTTTAAATTTCCCAACTTTAATTGGGCGCGTGACTCTGCGAAATCAAGAGCTCGCTTTTTAACTTAATTATGAAACGTTCTACGGAACAAAGGATCACTTGGTACTGATTCCTTTCACGAACAATTTTAAAACAGATCTTTACGAAACAAATTTTACTACAAACTACCTATTACTTTTCTTAAAATAAAATAAATATTTATTATTATGACATATAAAAATCATACAATTTATAGTAAAATAAATAATCTTGTTTTTCTTAAGAGAATTGGATTTTAGGAAAGTAAGATTTTCTATCTTAAAAAGTCTCTTAATACTACTCGAACAATTTAGATACAATTAATTGAATACCCCTAAGTAATTAACGAATCGTTATTAATAAGCATTGCATAATCGTGCACGCATCTGGAAGTTATTTATCGATCCAACTATGAAACCTGAAATATTTTTAATAACAATAGCATTTTATTGATATCGTTTTTATTATTTACTTGAAAATGAACAAACAAACAAGAAATATGTCGGTTTCATTGGATCACATGGTTCATAATGGTAACCATAAAAACGAATAACACTAAATTCACGAATCTAAATAAAAAGAGACAATACATAAAACTAAATGTACAATGCACAACATAATAGTGGCAAACAGGTTGTCTCTTAGTATTTATGAAAATTTGAGGTCACTTTATTTCGTGAAACCCGCAGAAAGAAAAATAATATCGTTATATACAAGAATATCGTTATCATAAATATCGATATTGTTATCGATTAGTGAAGCAAAGTTACAATTAATTGTAAATAAGAATACATCGCTAAATAATCAAAACAATATCGTGAATAAGGATATTCCTTTAGTTTCTGTCTGAATGAACCTTTTTTCGGAGCAAATCGGCGAGAATACTATTGAAGAATACGGGAGCTAAATTCGTTATTAATGAAGTTCTTATTGCATTTTTGTGATGTATCGGTATATTTCGTTAAGTCTTCCTCGGTAAATCGGTTGGATTTATATATAACTATAGAGACAGATAATATAGAGAAAAATGGAATGACTGTTAATACACTTGAAATGATCAATATTCATTGCATTATGGATACCTCGTAAAATTCTTATTCATTCCATTAAGTCTTTTAATATTTCTGAAAACGTAACCACTCCAAATCATTAAACTATAATTAATTAGTGAATGAATCCACGAGTTCATAAAGGACTGTTCAAAATTATTTGGTAATTTCCCCTGGATATTAAAAAATCGTAAGGTCTTTACTTTTTAGTTTAGTACGAAGACTATTTTTCATTTATTTCCATTTGGACTTATTAACAAAATTGATTCAGCATCATTGGTGTCAATAATAGTTCTTGCATTTCTTCCCAAACAATTTAGCACTATTTCACCATTGATTTTGCTTTTCGGTACGTAATTTATTTTTCTATCAAATACCATTCATTTAAAATATTTTGTTTTCTAGAAACACTTCGTTAAAACATATCTATAAACAAACTAAACACGTCGTTTCAGATAACTTAGGGAACGCTCATTTGGTGACGGCCTATGTAACCTCTCTCACATTGAGTTTATCTGACGTAACGAATAAAAAATCTTTAAACGCGCAATAAATCTTTATTTTTTAATGAGAACTATACATAAGTAAATATATCTGATGTGTTCTTCAAAATAATTGAAAATATGGAATCATCTGCAATTTCATATTAATGAATAGTAGTTTTAAATTACTGAAAAAATATCTTTTTTTGAGCATCCACAGTTAAAGAGTCGGGCCGAAAGAGTCAGATCGAAAATCGGGCTTTTTTTTATTTCTTTATAATGGTACTCATTTAACCTTATGGTAAATGCCGCATTGCTTAAGGGTATACCCCCAATTTGGTATGCAGACATAAACACGCATACATATTCTTTATAATTTGACGAATATAGATTTATAAATTGATGTTGAAAATTTATTTTTCTCTCACGAGATTTCTTAATTTTGTAGGCTCTATCAAAAGTAGCAAAAAAGATGAGTAGCTGTTTTAACATTCATAGTGAAATTTTGAAAAATAAAAATACTTAAACATGAGTGTGATAAACCATTCGAATTGTCTCTTCAAATTATTTCTTCTTCATTTATTTCTTCTTATTGAGTCACGCAATCTGTATTCCTTTGATTAAATGAGGATTATTTTTATAATCTCTGTAGCTATCTAACGATTAACTTAGCTAACTAACGTGTAACATATGAACAAAATGTTCATATATAAAAATAATAACAAATTATAGAGAAATATTTAAAAAAATATTTTTAAAAAAAATTATATAAAAAAGAGATTATATATGGCATTTCCTCGTAAGTAATAAAATTATAATAAAAAAATAAATAAATAAAAACCAATGATGAATCGAAGCAATTACGGGGATTGGTAAAGTGAAGCGACAGAGGACGGGGGCAACGCTGTAAGTGATAAAAATTATAAATTAAAAGTCTCAATTTAATTTATAGTTGGTTAATGCAAGATTTCTATTTAGAATTGAGTCCCGCAGTGGACTGATCTTAAAGACATGGTTCCCAGTAGAACACCGAAGTCAGGCATCACTGGTTGTGGTCAGTAAGCGGGTGGGTGACCACATTGATCTGCCTGCGTAGGGATCGAGGATGCGCGGTATCCGTCCTCGTTAAACTGTTCTACCATGAAGTGCTCGGATTCACGCGCAGTTCACCGGGCTACCAAAGCAGAGGAGCCATCCTCTCTGCAGAAGATCAAAATTGCGATGGCATGTCTTCGGATCATTGTCGGAGATGTTTCCCAGACCAATATCCCATAGTGCAGCTCTTGTGTGACGTAACTAACCTACCTCAAATCTCGATAACTAACTAACGATTAGCATATCTAACTAACGTATAACACATTAATAAAATGTTCTTATATAAAGCGATTAGAATTATTAAAAAAAATTTGAAAAATTATATAAAAATAATAATAAATTATAAAGAAAAAACAATGATGAATAAGAAGACATTATGGGAATCGGTAAAAATGAAGCAACGCGTTGTTAAGTGATAAAAATTATGAATTAAAAATCTTTCTTTATTCGACAGTTGATTAAAGTGAGATTTCAATTTAGAATTGAACTAATTTACATATTTAATCGATTTAACATTTTTAATTGATTTGCAGACTCATGCTAAATTTAATCATTCATCTTATGATGGTGTATATTATTGATGAATTCTCAATAGAATTTTGCTTGATAACAAAAATTATATGTATTCAGTTTCGTCGATGTTGAGATTTAGATCAGATTTTGAAGGGAAAAAAACCAATCGCGTTAATTTCATTTATCATTTATAATTAAATTAAAATTGTCTACTGTTTAATTTCAAATTGTAAATAAAATTTTGTTAAATTGTTTAATTTATTTTTATTGCTATTATTGCGCGTTTCCCTACCAGAGAATTTACTTCTTTATATTTAAAGCACGTTTTTAGATATCTTTACATAAAAAATTAACTGGAGTTATTTAAAAGATTGAGTCATTTGGCACTGAAAATGATGGTAAATTTTTTCCAAAAATTGGCACTTGAGTATATAATTTAATTTTCGCTAAGTGAAATGGCATTTTCATTATTTAGGTTTCTTGAGACATGTTTTAAGAACATTCCTATACACAAAATAAAGATGTGGTTCAAAATACTGTGACGTCACCCACTTACGCTCCACAAAAATAGATAACTAATGAAGAATGTGCTCTCAGAGAAACCTGTTTCTGACTAAATAGTGCACATTACTAATGTTATTTTTCTAACTATTGAAAATAGAAAAATCGTGTTGCTTAAATGTGTCACACTAATCCACTCATCTCTCTCGATAGGATGTTTTAGTTAAAAACTGTTTACTTTTTTCAGGACCTCAGCAGATTCCAACAAAGCTTATTTTATTATAGATACATCGAAATGTTATTTTAGTGTCTGGAATGGAATTTCGCCAGTTATTGGAGTCAAGCATTTCAATTATCGACAGTCTTGGTGAAATGAGAAGAGTATGGACGTCTCAAATTGATATTGAGATTTGTGCAAAGGAAAACGAATTTATTTTTTGAATCACTAGTGAGGGAGACATAAAATGAATATGAAACTTACAGTTGTAACTGAAAATCATCGCTCAATTCCATCGTGTTCCCTCGGCAATCAAACCAGAAATATTATGTTTTAGATTAAGTGATTTCTGAGATTTGTTTTTCTCCTTTTACTCATCTCCAATATGCGTTTCAATTTATTATTTAAGGGAAAATAAATATCATGGGTGATCATCGCAAAACAAGTTATTGAGAACATTTATTAGTTTTTACAGACTTTCTAATTAAAACTGTTGAAATTCCCTGCATGCATCTCTTTCATAAAACTCTCCGATCATTGAAAACTTTAAATAAAAAACTTTTTTTTTCGTTTGGAAATTGTATTCATAAATTTATGAGGCAAAGAATACTTCTTTTTGTCTCAACAATAAATTTATCTTTGTTAAAAAAAAATTTAAGTTCCAATTTGTTTTTCTTTTTTCGATATTGTTTAAATGATTATTCATCAAACCTTAATTATTTTAGGGAATTATTTTATAAAGATGACTTCTATTAAGAAAAACTTAAATTTCGGAAAACTAAACATTACGAGTAGGGGGGGAAGAGATTGCCTAAAATAATCTGTGCAATAAAGGTAATTCATTAAAATTGCTCACCTTGTTATTTTTCTTTCTTCGAAAATCCTTAAAAATTCTTAGAAGATCTCTTCCAGAACAATTACGAACACATTATTCCTAAAATGTGAGAAGACACCACCTCTCACTTCATTAAAAATCGAGCTCCGAGTGTGTGTGTCCGTGTTGACTGCCGTACACAGACGGCTTTTTAAATCCGCAGCTCTGCACTGGTATAGTAGACGTCGGGTGATGACGCAAGTGAATGCGCCCTCTGGCGGGACGTTTTAGAAGATGCAGGAGTTGTTCCTTCTTCAGAATGAAGAGAGGAAAGAGAATTGAATGAAGTGGGGATCATCCTCTTCCCCGACAGGAATAACTATTTTAGTTTCTCGAATTGAATTTTAATTTCATCTTTTCAGGATTCTTTTTCCTGCGCTTGTTTTTAACAAACATTTTATAATTTAATCTTTGATAAATATATTTGATACGATTTTTGAATTCATAGGGATTCTTCTCAAAAGTTGTAAGCAACAAAATGATGTGTTCAGTTATTAGGTATTCCCTTTTTAGGAAGAGATTTTTTCCATCCCTCCCCCCCCCCAAAAAAAGATGAAAAGTGATAGCTTCACTATTTTGTCCTCATCATTTATTTTGAAAAATTAAGATGTGCACATCTAAGGGGGTATCGGAAATTAATGTCGCTTCGGCGCATTAAATATTCATTAGTCTTAAAAACCAATCCTTTTTTTTCGATCCATTTCGATCTTTCATTCATTCATTTTCGATCTGGCAATGAAAGGCTGTTGTTAACGAAGGGGAATACATTATTGATTAAAAATTAAATCTTGGTAACAAATATCGAATGCACCGAAACGACGTTACTTTCCGGTTCCCCTAATATTATAATCACGTTTGCAACGAAAAGCACGAAACAACGCGATAAGTCAGCCAGAAAGAAGAGCTATTACTATTTGTATTAAAAAAGAACTCTCTTTAGTTATAACGAGGCTTCATAATGAACGCACATTGTTAATAAAACTGCAGACGTAAGAGAGTTTGTTTCTAAGGTAATATCTTTCACTGTTACTGTTTTCACCAAAATTCTAAGACTTATAAATTTATATGTTAGAAAGAAATAATTTAAATTTCTAAGATAACCCACATTTAGGTATTGCGCATCTAATATTTTTCTAACTCTTAAATTTAGCTATGCTTTCTTTTTTTAAATTTTCGCTCCTTTTTCTTCCGTTTTTTTTACATTTTTCTAGATTATGATATAGTAAAGAAATTACATGTCTACAAACAACTTGTGTATAACGAAGAATTATTGAAACTATCGAAATCAAGCCATATTGTTTATAAATCGGAGGAAGTATGCTTCTGCATTAAATGCATATTAATCAAAGGTTTCACAGGATTTTAAAACTTTATTTGAAAAAGAGTACCATCATTCATACAAAACAGATTTTAGTAGCAAATCAAATTGCGAGAAATGCCCTACTATACTTTCATTTCCCTTAAAAAATGTTGCCAATTCCTTATTTTCATTTATTTCAGACTTTTTATGCTGAGAAAACTTGACAGCAATAATTTCTCTATTAAATGAATAATCCCAAGAAATGGAAGGATATACTTGATGATAACAAAAAACTTCATTCGGTTCAAATCCATGAAGACGATAATAAAAGTTGAGTGCTCTCAAAAATAGGTGTTAATTTTTAAGACTCTTCAGACAAGAATAAGAAAAACAGAAACGATTTGAAAAAGAAAGCTGCCAACGAATCAATGAACAATGAAGATGAAAAACAAAACTGGGTAATCATGACAGACGAGACTGAAGCAAAGAAAATGAAAAATAAATAATTGCAAAAGAAAAACGCAGTGGTATTTATTAGCCATTTCTTCTTTTCTGTGTGATGTTTTCTTCATTATTCTCGTCTTGAGTCTTGAGAATCAGTGCCTATTTTTGAGAACTCGAAACTTGTCAAATTTAACGACCGTCTTCATATATTTGAAACAAATGAAATTTTTTAATCATCAAGTTAAGAATTATCTAGTTTCGTAATCAGAACGCAGCAAACCGTCTTCTTCGTTCTTTAATTGATTTTCAAAGGTTGTTTGTATACATTTTTTATGCTTCGACTCTTTCGAATAAAAATGCTTTCGGGATTGTTATTCTTATAAACTTTATTGGAGGAGAAGTTTTAAAAGTTTTCAAATGAAAAGGCAACAATTATTTACCAGCTATAGTTTTTTTTCCGAAGCAATTACTGTGAAAGAAAAACATCTCATTATAACCATTGCATGACGTGCATAATTTAATAAAGTTTATTAAACTAACTAAAACACGTATTGCAAAACGATGGTGGCGGGAATTTTCCAATTATCTAACATCCGAAAGAAAAACAATTTCCGAAATAAAATTCAATCAATATGAAATAAAGCTTTTTTGTTTCCATTTTTTTATTTCCTATGTTAGAGGACATTTACATAAAAAGGAATTATAATTATTTTTTTTATTCTTTACCTGATCAGTCTTAAATTATGAAACATTTCTCAATAACGTGAGACAATAAGGGAGGGGGGGAGTGTACAACACGAGAGAAAATGTCTGGGCGACTCTCCATAACCCTATTAGTACAAATAGTATTTTTTCTATTATTTCAGTAATTAAACATCGGTACTACATGTTTTTTTATTAAGATTTTTTTCTCGTGAGGGGGGGGGAGTTAACCTAACGAGCTAATTGCATGCTTTATTTTGCCAATTGAATGGTTATTCTGTGGCACAAAAATAAAAGTAATTAAATCTATTTAATTTGTTTTTCTATCCATTCATCCACCCCATCTCGCAGTTCCTTGTAAAATCTCCTTCAGTAATCTTTCCCTCCCTTTTTTCCTCTCTTTTGATGTAATTGTTGTTGCCAGAGAAGTAATCATTTGTACTTAAAAGAGATGTTTTTATTTTGCTGTAATTCTCCCAGCTTCATTATCTTCTGGGAATGGAAACACTTTCTTTTTTCTTTTAATATATTTTTTTTTTCGTCCAGTGGTTTGTTTTAAATTCCAAGAATTAGAGGGAGAAGGAATTTCTCTTCTAGAAAGCGGAGAAAGCTTCTTAATCTACGAAACTCGGACACCAGAACAAATCAGTACCTTAGATAATAAATTGGGGAGCCAATATTTCTGTTTAATTTATTTCCAATACCCACCTGTGTCAAAATTTCGTCAATTCAGGCATTTTCTGGGCAAATTTGTTGGCCACTCTTTCAGGGCACCCTATTAGATGGGACAACATTGCTCCCACAGTAAGAACAGATAATACAAAGAATGAAAGAACATCCTTGCCCGGGATTCGAACTCAGAACTTTTTTGATGCATGGCCAGTTTCCTGACCCCTACGCAGTCCGGTCGGCGAGGGGAGCCAATATTGAAGGGCAGTTCCCAAAAGGTGGGAGCATAACACAGATCTAAATTCTGAACACGATTTAATTTTAAATTTATTTCGCGATAAAAATTCTAGAGTAAATTTGTTATTCTGTCTATGAACAGGCATTAATATAACTTAATTGCAAAAGTTTTCTATAAATATCTTAAAAGATAGTTTTGGCTACTCTAAATACCCATTTCGGACACGATGTCAACTGAACCAATGTCATACTGGTGTAAAAAACATGAAAAGCGAAATTGATATTTTCAAATTGAAATAAGAAAGTAATGTTAAAAATAAAAAGGTTTCTTGATAGTATCTGCAACAAACAGCAGCAATAGTTATATTTAATTGCATGAGAATTTTTATTAAAAAAAAACAATTTAGAGTTTTGATGCTTCTTTAAAAAAATGACGTCAAAATCCGTTATTTTAGGTAAGTAGTTTAAGCTCATTAAAATAATTTTCAAAGATTTAAGCATTTTGTTTTAATGAAATAATTTTGTAACTGGATGTCATTTTTCTTACAGGTTAAATAGAGTATTGATTTACTTTATAAATGAATGAAAATTATAAATTTATTGTTTAAGATAATCTGATGATTCAAGAAAAAAAGTAATAATGATAATTTTTTTCAAATAGAAAAGTACATTAAATAAGTAGAGAATAATTTTTGCGTATAATATAAATATAAATAAAATTAGCTGAGGTTAACGTTATTATTTCCACCTTCAGAAAAGTGCCCTTTAAAGGGTCTTGTAAGAATAAAATATGTGTGTACATAGAAATCGCATCCGTGTGGAAATCGTGGGTTGATTGCTTTTAGTTTAATACGGTGAAGTGATATGTTGCATTATCTATTAACAATATTTCTTTAATAAAGTTATTTCGTCTTTAAGGGAAAACAATATAGTAGAAGCTGATAAAAAGAAGGTTTTTTAATGAATTTTTCAATGATTGTAATAAGCTTACTTAATACATTTTTTTTTCATCTTATTGTACATATTTGAATTTTCATTTTATGATGTTACAAACAAAAAAAATTTAAAAAGATAGAGATTATACAATACGATGCTCGTAACTGATATTTCTTAAATTATCTATAAATTGCTGTACTCATTAGTAGGAAAAAAATCATCCCATTTCTATTCCGTTTTAATTTTTTTAAACTACAAAAAAAAATGTAAACGAATGTACTACAAAAGAATGTAGTTTTCGTTGTAAGCAGGATTTAAAAAAGAAAAATTCAGAAAATGGTAGTGTTATAAAAAAAGGACACGAAATTAGTTACATTTTCATGGACTACTCAAACCCAATCAATCCAATTAAGAAATCACTATCTGCAACGGAAATTGTATTTATACTTCATTAACTGTGAATATTGTGTCAAAATTTAAAGTATATCGGCTGAAAATTGTACTAGTTATTGAATACATCAGGTACGAGAAACATTGTTTCATGGTAAAGTTTTGAAATCAATCAATTGATACAAATATATAAAATTTTGCTAACTAGCTATAATGCATACCATAACTATAATAGCTAGTCTATAAGATGCAGTTCATTGTCATCAGTCTTTCTCTTGGGACGTCTCTAGAGGAGCAGCCGAAATTCTTCTTCATTTTGAGCACATTCTTTGGTTGCATTTATTTCGAAAACTAGTCCTTTGCAATCTTCATTAAAAACTATTACACCTGTATAAGTTCAACTACACTCTATAACAAAAAAATTGACGCACCAAGAAGGAGTTGTCCGATTGAAACGAAAATTGGTGGATAGGAAGACAATGTACGGAA